TCGCCACAAGATGTAAACCATTGGTGAGACTCAAAAACAGGAAGGCCAGATTAGAGTTCTAAAAAGCCTTCACAGTGCTAGAACAACATCCTATGGACAGAAGAAACCAAGATCAACTTGTACCAGAGTGATGGGAAGAGAAGACTATGGGGAAGGAAAGGAACTGCTCATGAACTCAAGCAGTGAAGTATGGTGGTGGTAGTGACATGGCTTAAGCATGTATAGCTGTCAACGGAACTGGTTCTGTTGTATTTATTGTTGCTATGTGACTGCTGGCAAAAGCAGCAGGGTGAATTCTGAAGTGTTTCAGGCATTATTTCTTGCTCATATTAAGCCAAATGCTTTAGAAATCCTTGTGTGCAGAGGGAGACTGACCCAAAGCATACTGCAAAAGCAATTTTTAAAGTTTTTGAAGGGAAAGAAGTGGAATGGTATGCAATGGCCAAGTCAATCACCTGAACTGAATCCAATTGAGCATGCCTTTCACTTGCTGAAGACAAAACTGAAGGGAAAATGCCCCAAGCAGGAAGTGAAGACAATTGCAGTAGAGGCCTGGTAGAGCACCACTAGGAATGAAACCCAGCGTCTAGTGATGTCAATGCGTTCCAGACTTCAGGCTGTAATTGACTGCAAAGGATTTGCAACCAAGCATTAAAAAGTGAAAGTTTGATTTATGATTATTATTCTGTCCAATTAATTTTGGTCCCTTAACAAGTGGGAGGCACATATACAAACTGTTGTAATTCCTACAGATTTCACCTGATTTGGATGTAAATACATTTAAATTAAAGCTGACAGTATGCAGTTAAAACACATCTTGTTCATTTTATTTATAATCCATTGTGTTGGTGTATAGAATATATATAATATATATAGATATAGATAATATTTGATGTCCAAATATTTATAGACCTAAGTTTAACAGTATACCAGAAAGCAGAATATTTCATGATCATCCATTTATAATGATTGTTAAGCAAATTTCTGTTCATATCAAAAATAGGTTGTGTTTGAAAACCAAATGTCTGTTATTGTAATACGTTTTTCCTTAATACAATGAAAACTCAAATATACAAATTTGGCTCACTGAAATGTGCCTGAATTACATAAAATTCTAAAAAAAATCCTACATTATCATTACAGTTGAGATGTAACTCTCCTTTCAACAAATTTGAGGATTAAAATGTCTTTTTCTTAATCATCACTGGTGTTGATGGGCCTTTAATTCAATAATTGTTTTGCAATAACTTTAATTCTGTCATTTACTCACCATCTACTTGTTCCAAACCTGTTTGAGTTTCATTTCTTTTAAAGGTTTAAAACCACTTTCAAGTGAGTAAATAATTAGTACATTTTTAACTTTCAGTGTACAATTCCTTTAACAAGTCTATTTCTAGGTCCCCCTACTTTTCTTTTTCAATAATTATGCTGTAAATAAAAATAAAAATAAAATAAAAAATACAGTACAACGCCTTAATTTAGGCTTTCTTAAGCATAGTCTGAATTGTGCATCATTAGTTTGCCACTTTGAGAGTTGATTGCTTTGGCTGCGATCCCAATTCTGGCAGGAGTTCTGATGTCAAGAGGAGAAAAACGCAACATCTTTGGTCTGCAACAGTTATTGTAGTACTTCCAAAATGGGAGCAATCCATATACAAAAATAGGCAGACAATATTTTAGGGCTGGACTGGATTGTTTGCACTTTGGACAGTGCATTGAAGACCCAGAACAATTTGAGCAATGACACAAAGCTGTTTTTCCGGTCAAACGTGCCTGTACAATGACTTGCAGAATCAATAGTTTATTCACACAAAATCAAAAACTCTCATGTTGTTTCAAACCTGTTGGACATAATAGTTGACTTAAAAGCAGATACTGTGAAGAACATTTGCCCACACAATAAAAGTCATTAAGGGACCAGTGGGTAACCTTCTTTTCAATGCATAGGCAAAAATAATGTAGATTTTTTCAAAATATCTTTCTTGCCTCATGTGAAATTTACAACAATTTTTTTCAATGTAATTAAATAGATTTCTTTTACAATCCAATAACTTGATTTTTCAAATAATAAATAAGTAAAATAAATAATAATTTCATTTTTCTTGGGAACACAGCAGTAAACCCATCACTAGTGCAACAAAATTTAACTTAAAAACTTTTAATTTATCAAGATATTTTCGGTGAAAGAAGTATAGTCTCCAGTAGCCACTTTAGCTCCAGCGATGGGGAGCTTAAGCTCTAACTCCTCCTCCTATAAGCTGTTTTAATGTGTACACCCAAATGCAGGTAGCTAGATTGACATCACCAACAGCAGTGTGCCTGACTGTTGAGCCTAAGGGCTGATTTAAATCGTTTTCTAAATAAAAGTAATGGCACGACGTAGAAGAAATAATTTCAATATTAAAAATGTTTTTGCTCAAACCAACACCTGAAATGTATATTTTAGAAATGGCTTCTATTTCTTGCAGTTGATCAACAGAAAACTGACAATGATAGGTACACCTCATGTGCTTTATTTAGAGTTAAATGCTAATAATGTGAGTTTGAATGTCATTTTACATTACCTTTATTGCCAAACTACTGAAAGCAGCAGCAGCTGATAGTTCACCTCAGATCTTAAAAATAAAATAAACCATTTGAAATGAAATTCAGAACTGCGACTCAGTGCAAGCCAACACATATCAGCCAACACATATCAGTGATTCTGCAATTACATTTAAAAATGGTAAAGAGGTTTAATAAGTATTAATCAGATTATAAACCTTACCATTTTGTTGGAGTGCACTGAGCGCACTATTCTGTGCTTCTTAATGGCTGTATTTAAATTTCTGTCGTGTTTTGTCTGGTGCAAATAGCTAAATTGCTTATCACGCTCTTCACGTGACATGTTGCTGGAACACAGGGTTAAAATGTAACCTGCTCTCCTAATGTTTATGTTCGTAATATTTATATTACTTGCTAATTAATAACCTCATGTCAAACTCTATCTAATTTCGGAGCCGTTACTGTCCACTGGAGGTTACATTTCGGTCGCAGACACACACTTTGAGAGTCTTCCTGACTGGATTAATGAAATGCGCAGTTTTCCACTAAGGAAACCCAGGGTGCTGAAATATATCTGGCTAAACTGTCATTGAGCAGGTTAAATGACCAAAACAAAGACAGATGTTCCAGCACGTGACAGACTTTTTCAAAGCAGAATATCTGACTTCAACCTTGTTTTTCAGACAAACAAGTATGTTCACTTAGCATGTTTCTTAGATATCTACAAACTTATTATAGTATTTTTGTACTTTAAAAATAGTCAAAAACTTACATACAGCACCTTTAATAGAAGTATTTGTATATATGGTGATTTAGATTTAATAAAAATAATAAAAGTGGTGAAATTGTTAGTGCATAATAGCTAATTAATTATACCTATAATAAGCTTATGACATTTAATAAAGCATACCTAAATAATTTATCTAATATACACAATATTGAACAAATGTGTTACTCTTGACTAAAACAAAAATAAAACTAAATTTCTGTTTAACCTCACATTAATAAAAAAGAAGAAAATAATAAAAACTTTATAGACAAAAACCTAATAAAATATGTAATTACAAAAAACAGACAAAATACAACTAAATTGTTTAAAATATCTCCTTTTGTGTTCAACAGAAGAAAAAGAGAAAGATAAGTAAATCAGAATTTTCATTTTTGGGTGAATAATGTCTTTAATTTCTATAAACCAGAACCTTGTCTATTCTCTTTTTTTTTCTTCTTCCAAAATTGCTTTAACAAATCAGTGTGCCAAATGTGGCAATGCCTTAAAAAAGCTACATTTACCAAGTAAAGAGCAGAACAAAATGAAAGAGAGGAATCTTTAAAGAGAAACATCGAATGCTAAAAGACTTTGGGGTAATCTATACAAGGCAAAAAAAAAAAAAAAAGACTGCAAGCTGGACTCCATGAGAGGGAGGCACAGACCTAAGGATGTAGCATAAAGGCTTGCTTCCACACAGGACAAAATCTGGGAATAGAAGACAGATTGAAAAAGAAGAACCAAGAGAGATGGCAAAGAGAGAGTAAGAGAGCCTCAATCAATCCCAAGCTTCCTATTCCCAGCACTCAATCCCATAGTGAGGGCCATGCTGATGTTTTATTGATGGAAGAGAATCCGGCTGCACATGTACCCTCTACATAATTCATGATGCCCAGCATTAGGGCCTGCCTGCAGAGAGATGTGTGTGTGGAAATGTGAGAGAGTGTTTGTGAGTTTGTAACTGTACGCGTGTGGCAAAGATAAGCAGGAATGTTTTCCCAAATATATTCCTTAAAAATAATGAGTGCGAAGAAACTTCATCGCTTTAGTTTGATGTGAATAATAACAGGCTTTTAGTGGCTTTGTTAATTAGTTAAATTTAATAAAGTACCAACAGTTTGGCACCATTTATTAATTAAAAAAATGTAAAGATAAAATTGTTGATTATAAATGTTCCTTTATATTTTTTTATGCAAGAAAGTGGCCATACATAAAAAATTAAGTATTAAAGGGATAGTTCACCCAAAAATGGAAATTCTCATCATTTACTTATCATTTACGTGTTGCAAACCTGTCTGAGTAAATTCCTTCTGTTGAAAACAAAAAAAGCATATTTTGAAAAATGTTGGAAACCTGTAACCATTGACTCCCATAGCATTTGTTTTATGGATCTAACTAGGGATGTCCCGATCAGGTTTTGTGCCCTCGAGTCAGAGTCATTTGCTATTGTGTATCTACCAATACTGCCAGGCAATCCCAAGTTTACATATCCCACAATTTGCTATGGCAATGTTGTCATAATTATCTTTGCAATACCTCCAGACCACAGACATACTCACATTTTCTGCTTCAAGCTGTTTTTGTGTTCTTTTTTGCTGGCATATGCAGTTGCAGATGTTGCTAATTTATTAACACTGATAAATTTTTAAAAGATAAATCGTTTTTCCACCAAAAATAAAACTTCAATCCATTTTTGGTGTATACAACTTTCTTTTCTGTCAGAAGAACACAGTCACAAAGTTTTTCAATGTTATCCTTGCTCTTCCATGCTGTATAATGAAGTGAACAGATACATCACCCATAACACCATTACTATATAAAAATAAGAAGAGTAAATTTTGATTTCAAGCCATCTTTACCCTTTTAATAAACCATTAACAAAACTTTAGAGATGATCAATTTACGCCAATAAATGCCAATGTCTGAAACATTCTGTAGTAAATGAATGGACTAAATTTAACAGATTTTTACAACACAGCAGATTAAAGTTGCACAGAGCGTAAACTAAAGCTAAGTGATCTCTTAAAAAGCAGTTGCAGTCACCGGTCAACACAATTCAATTAGCTACAGGGGAAACGGCTGCTTTTGGTGAATAATGGCAAAATTAGTACATTTTCCCGACCGCAATTATTTGATGTGCTGAGGTTGACAGGTGTGCTATAATGGAGTTTCACATTTGTATGTTTCAAAGGCTCCCTCCACAATAGCAGTTGCCATAGTAACTTATTAAGATCCACTCCAGAGCGATGTCCTGACCTAACTAGATCCAGAAATTTGAAGTAGAACATCATAGATGGGGGGAAATAAAAAATTAAAAGAAAGTCTATTTTCAGGTGCTATTTTGAAAATGCATTCATGCAAATAAATGGTTTATTAGGAATTATTATATTGTAAAATACAAACCTGCCTGTCAGTTCATGTTCATTGTTAGCTGAGAAAAAATTATTGATTGGTAAAGTTTTGTTTTTGAAGTTTTGCAGTAATAAAATGATAGTGCTTTGCTTTACAGCATACAGTAATACTGCTTCAGGGAGTTACATAAAACAAGTCTACTGGGACAAGTTCTGTAGGGAGAGGAGGACAGTAATTAAATTTGAAAATATAAACGAAATGGCCCAGATCTAGCCGCTTTACCTTACAGTTTAGCTCAGGGGACAGGAGGAATCTTCTTTTGTTTCATTCTTCCTTATAGCAGCTATTTCACCTCTTTTGTAATTTCTCTCCCCCTCTTCAGGAGGAAAAACAGCACAAGGTAAGAGAAGAAAGTAGGTCGGTGGCTGTGAATTGATTGATGTGGTGTGGCTTAAGTCTGGTTTTCATACAGCCACTTAAATCCCCCACATCATTCTTCATTCTAGCAGAGACTTTCTAAACATTGATATTCGGTTATGCAATTAAAATGTACAGCACATTTGGCCACATCACAATGTCGGTAAAAAGAGGCTTCAGTGATTGTGTAGACCATCGTCACGAAACGTCTGTGCAATATGTACAGATAAGTGTGTGGGTTTCCATGTCAGCGTTTTAGTACCAGTTTGATTATTATTTTTTTCTCTCAGGTACACTTGGCCTCCATGTCGTAGAGCTGCAGTAATTCACTCATGATGGTCTCAATTTGAGCCTTGGTGATGTCTGCACAAACAACCTGCAAAATGAAGCACAGAGCGTCAATGCAGAGCCCAGAATTTAGCCCACCTGCATGCTATTTCTGAGATGACAACTGAATATTAGTTGAGGCAATTGATAATAGAATCTAGTCACATTTAGATGTTTTAATTTCAAGTCAGAAAAACAGCTGCCAGGGCTTCAGACTGCATCTAAATGTTTCAAATGTTGAAAATTGTAGTTTCTTGGTAAAACTGTATTAGATGTTACATTTGTGTGGCTACCAGTTTGCCTGGCAACTGATAAACAGCCATTTTGGTTACAAAACATCTGAACAAAACTGTTTAAAATGCATCATGCAAACTATCAGATTTAACCTGCTAGAATCCTGTTAACCACTGCGAATGGCACAATCAAATTAAAAATCATGGACAAATACAAAACTATTGATTTAGAGTGGCTGATTTATACTGTACATCTACACTTCAACCTTTAATACATACATGTATTTTCAAATATTTGGTTATTTTGAGAGCATGGGGAAAGTGTCATTCACAGTGAACGATAGCATTTTTGCAGAAATATTGGTTAAATTGTAAATTGATACTCATAAAATTGCAGACATATTTGAAAAGTAGTGTTTTTGTTCATTTGCATTCATATTAAATGACTTCAGGCTACTTTTACTGTAACAAATACCTCAAAACTATATTGCTGCTTTTTATCATAGTAGTTTGGTGAAATGCATATCTTACTTCTGGTTATGACAAACAAATCTATGGTAATATAAAAGGCTAACTGTTGATTTAAAAAAAAAAAAACATTTTAAACTAATGTGTATAAATGACATCTTTAAGAGGTAAAACTTTTAACATCATTATTTTATTACATGGGTAGTGCAACCAAATCAGGTGCTTGCTCAACCATCGGTAGAATGCTCTCAAATGCTAGTCAAGAGCCATGACTTCCCTGTTTTTTTTTTTTTGTTACTTGTAAGAGAACTTTGTGGCTACATTTTAACCTAATATTTCTATTTTAAATAAGGCACTGCAAAGTGTTCAAAATCACAGTTAGACATGTTACATTCTATCAACAAAATGTTGAATTGCCATTTAAGAAATGTTTGTCAGTAATAAGGTTAAAAATCTTAAATTTTCACATTTACAGTGTGAAAAGAGACAACATACAGTACAAGTATACTGTGGAAAACAACTGCAGAATTATACAAAATAATTTTGTATCCCGCAATAATTTAACAAATGAAAGCTTTAACTGAAACAAAGTAATCACACATTCATATGAAATCAAACCTTTGACAACTATAACAAAAAAGTAAGAGAAAAGATGCACATGTGACTAAGTTTTTATAAATGTAAACTGTTCATTACTTTGATATTTTTAACCATTAATTTATTTTTATTTATTGAGTAAGCCAACTAGAAATAATTTAATGTCACTTGATCATTTGGCTTATTTATTATCTTGACCTTATTGATTAGCTTCGACTTATAACATATTTGGGCCCATGTTGAGCCAGAAAAGATCATTTAAAAATGTTTTTGTTTTTTTTTACTTTTATTTAATATAAATAAAATTATTATTATAATTTTATTTAATGCATTTCATACTCATCATTTTGGACCCAGGTATGTATGAAGGTATCAATCAATCAAACAAACAAACAAACAAAAACATGTCAAATTTTGCCTTTTCTTTTGCCTTACATACAAATCACTGTAGCTTAAAAATATCACTTTTCACCCAAAAGTAAAGATCTAGGCAAATACAATAAAGTTATAAATCAAAGCAATATAATTATTCATTCATTCAATTTCCCTCAGCTTAGTCACTTTATTAATCAAAACCATATGTTTTACATAGTGGATGCCTTTCCAGCCACAACCCAGTACTGAGAAACACCCAAACACAAAGGTCAATTTAGTTCATCCAATTCACTCATACCACATGTCTTTGGACTGTGGGGGAAACCAGAGCAAGGGGAGAACATGCAAACATCACACAGAAATGCCAACTGGCCAAGCCGGGGAATAGGCATGAACCAGTATAGGATTCTGATGGTATGATAACCTCGGATAAAAATATCACGGTTTCACGGTAGAGCATTACTGCTCTAAAATATGTGCTTTTTAAGTGTCTGGGTAAAAAACACAAAAACTTTTCCCCCTTTGAAAACAATATATATATATATATATATATATATATATATATATATATATATATATATATATATTTTTTTTTTTTTTTTTTTTTTTTTTGAAAAACGTATAATATTTTGGAGCATTTAACATGTCAGGCTAAATAATTCAAATGAATTATTGACTTCTGCTGTCTTCATTAGTTTCAAAAACACAGATTTCATTACAATTTAAAACGCCATCTTTGGATATCTTTTCTGCTGAAGATACTGTTGTCCTAAAAAACAAACAAAAAAATGTAAATAAAAAAAATCTTACACATGCCTTAGGAACAGAAAATAACAGAAAACTTTGGCGGTTTTAAAACCTGGACTTTTCTAAACCGTGGTATACCTTGAAAACAGTTATCGTCCCATGCCTAGCCAGGACTCGAACCAGTAACCTTCTTGCTGTGAGGCAACAGTGACTACCACTGAGCCATCGTTCCGTCAGTGCAATTAAATTAAACTAAATTAAATTGTAATTCTCGGATAACAGGTTCTTATAGATTTAATACAATGATTAAGTCAAATATAACCTCTTATCAATACTGAAAAAAGTAAATATATTGTAGTTTTTTGTGTGCAATTAATTTTGATTAATAAAAACAGTTAGTTGACCAAAATAATATGGTAAATACAATGTAATGTAAATATATTTTCACAGATTTCACAGAGCAATTGCTAACTAGATAACATATGATTTCAGTTGAAAAATAATAAAGGTCCTTTCAAAATGCACCTTGAATTCAACATTAATAAACAGAAATCATTGATTACGAGGGTATTAGACCATTCTAACACAACAATGGCACTAACATTAAAAACTCATTTATGACCACTGATGATAATTATCCCAATATTGCACAAAGAATTGATATCCATTTGAACTGACCGCTTTGGATCTGATAGACTCAGATTCACATTGATTGATTTATGCATTAATCGAAATGAATTATTTTTTTGGCATACGCCTAATATACCCAGTTCTCGTTCTAAATAAAAGCTCTACGTGTTAGTCAGATGTTCTCTTCTTACCTAAAAATATGATTATTTCCCAGAACAAATTATAAAGGATACCAGGAATTATGCTAAAAGCTTCTTTGAACATTTAGAAAAATAATTGTTATTAATGCTAGAATATTACTACTATTAAACTCTGTTCTAGGAAAATGAAGTCATTCAAGTGGCTTTAAGAGCCCTTTAAAGAATTTTTTTTTGTTTGGTCGTCTTTTTAAATACTACTTAGGGGTGTCACCAAGGGAACGCAACTAGTGTGCAAGACAATGCCATTTTTTTCAGATCAGGCAGCAACCGTTAGGTGCTCCAATTGCCATGGGAACAACTTCCAGCACTCTAAAGGTTACTGCAATGGTACTGCTATTGATGCCTGATCCGACCCTGGCATCAGTAAGACTCAAAGTAGTCAACGTTCAGGCTTGGTGACTCAATGCAGGCACAGCAGGACATTTTATTTTTCTCCACATGACAGTGTAAAAGTCCTACCTGCCACCATTCTAGTTCTCCTCTGGGGAGCTGCACTCCATATGTCTGGAGAGCAAGATAGAGGGCGGTGAGGGCGAGGTGTTGAGGCCGATGGCGAACACACACAGAGCCATGGTAACTGTCTTTTAATACAGCCAGAGCTGTCTCTGCAATGGGGGTTCGAGACCAGGCATGGCGGTTCAGGAGACTTCTTACGGAGAGCAGGTAGTGCAGCAGGTACTGGGACACGGTGAGAAGTTTGTTAGATGGAGAAAAACTGTTTTGAAGAACAGTACAGACTCAGATAAACTTTTCTATATCCGCAGAGAGGTTGAAATTACATCTTAACTGGCTGCATAATATTTGTACACTAATAGAAATGGTTAATTAACTAATTTGCCTCATTTAATCAATCTACACTTTTTATTCTTGTGAATATGATACTTTTTAGAGATTTGGTCTGTTTTTTATTCCTATATGTCATTTATTTCTCATTTGCTGTATATTTTTGTAATTTGATGATGTTGAAATATTACATATTTTATACATAACTTACATGCTTTGGCAATACATCCGCAGCAAACTGTCAGAAAGACTCATGGATAATAGAATTTAATGTGCAACAACTTGAAGCTTTAAATCTTTGACAGTTAATGTGGTTTTCTATTTTTTTGTTGTTAGTGTATTACTATGTGCGTATGGATGTATATATGTACATGTATGTAGGTAGGTAGGCATGTGAACGGATATGTATATGTATGGGCAGGTACATATACATGCATGTATGTATGTATATATGTATTATTTCCTATAATATTATAGACTGTAAATGTACCTTGTATCCTATTATGTGTGTGTTTAAGATATGTGTATCTTATGTTTATATGAGGAGTAGATCTTGTTTTGTTTATTGAAAGAAAACTGTAAAGATGCGTGACCACTCGCATGTAAAATCAATAAAATCTTAATAAAAAAAATGAATAAAATAAAACGTCAGCAACAGATTTTACATATCAGTGGGTGCATGTGGCAACTGAATAGAAGAAGTAAAACAAATAGTGGATTTCTTTTTTTATTTCAACGATATATATATATATATATTTTACTTCAACCCACTGAAAAGAAACAGTGTATAACAGTGTCATAATAAATAAAAATATTGCTTAAAATCACTCTTTTTGTCTAATGTAGTTAACCATGTGCCATGGGTAAAAGGTGTGTTTCAATCCGGCTACCACCGCAAGTGTATTTCAAACCTGTGGAAAGCACTAGACTAATTAATGAAATGAGGAGAATGAAAGTAATAAACTAATAGAGAGTTTCTGCAATGTGCATAAAGACATTTCAGTCTGTGATACTATTTTAAAGCAGTGTTATTTTAGTATTAGTGGTATATTTTTAATTTTAAATCATAGTTTGGCTTTTTGTGCATATGTTAATTTTTGACTGTATGCTCATGTTTGAGATCAAAATTATCTAGTTTTGGAGCCCTGTGTAAAGCCCACCAATTTTTACTAAAATTTTGTTGCCACCTGTGAGGGAAACCAATTATCAATACATGATTTTACAAATTTTACCTTTATTAATCTGGGGTCGCCACAGTAGATTGAACCGATAACTTATCCAGCATATGTTTTGCGCAGCAGATACCCTTCCAAGTGCAACCCATCACTAGGAAACATCTATACACACTCATTCATACTACGGACAATTCAGCATATCCAATTCACCTATAGCACAAGTTTTTGCACTTGTGGGCGAAACTGAAGCACCCGGAGGAAACCCACGCATACACGAGGAAAACATGCAAACTCCACACAGAAATGCCAACTGACCCAGCCGGGGCTTGAACCAGCAACCTTCTTGCTGTGAGGCATTTGTGCTACCCACTGCACTACTGTGCTGCCATAATGTTAATGATTTTTTAACAGTTTTAATTTGTAATACTACCCCTGCTTTAAAAAGTACACAAGGGGAAAAACATATCTTTTTATAATTATTTTCACAAAATCAGTACTTTCTATAAATAATTTCACAAAAGTAGTTCTTATTATTGTAAATTCATTGAAGCTCACAAATTTTAAAACAACTTCATATTGTAATGTTTTGTACTGAAGACACATTATACATTAAATAGATTTTTATTTGTCTAGGAATCCCTAAGATGTTAAACATTTGATTTCAGAACACATCAAATTTTAGAAATAGCAAACATCTACGGGCATTACCTTGTGTGGATGCTCAAAGGTCACTTGAAAGTTCAGCTGTCGAAGGATGAGGAGCTCACATTGCACAATGCTGTCCCTCAACTCCCAGAACTTCCCATTAAGTTCTAGTGGTTCACTATCTGGATGAAAATACCTGGATCAAAGAAAAATACAAATGAGCTACTACACTACTAACGTTAAATGGATTCTGAGTCCACCCTGCTACAATAACCCTTCTGCTACCTGTGACAGACATTGATGATATCTCTGGTCCTGAGATGCTGCTCTTCCACTTTGCCTGCGAGGTAGATGGCAGACATGGCCACTAGATAAGGCTCATAGATCTGCAAACTGGCAGACTGGAAGAACCTATGATACAGCACACATGCAGTAGCCATGGGCACAGATCTCATGCCCAGCTTCACCCCTACACATGTGCAAAATAAGAGATAAACTCAGTCAGAAACAAAAATCCTTCGAGAAGCGGAGGTATCACGATACATTTCTTAAATTTGTTTAATTTGAAAAACCTAGTCCAGCATATATTTCATAAAAATGCAAATACCCGTCTCGGTGATAAAGCGACAAACTCTGAAGTGTGTTTTGGAGTATTCCACATCTTCAGCACTTCTTCTGCCTCTCGCTTCATTGGCAGCTGCAGATGTTGACGCATGCGCGCTCATTTTACGTCGTTCACCAGACGTTTCAAAGCGCGTTTATCAGTTTACATTGCTTGTATTAATTTCGTCTTTAAACATAACATGTACTTCTTTAGTATTAGTCGTTTGTACTACAACCGTAAGCACGTAAATTGAGACTTTTCTTCGGCTAATGTTCGGCCTCCCACACAGAGCTCTACAGCGCCTCCGTTGTCTGGGAAGAAGATATACGTGGACGACGAAAGAATGGCAAATAATTTATCAAGTAGAAAATGTTTTCTTCAGCTGTAAAAGAGATTATTTAAAAATATTCTATTACGTACGGCGTTTTTTAAACCGCCAAATAACTTTTAAGAGTGAGTAAACTCCTATCTCCTGAGATAAAACTGTATTTTTACCCTTGAAAGGTTGCTAGGAGACCACTGCCAACACAGCCGTGAGGAAACATGTCGACAAGTTACTCTGCAAACCAGGTGCTGAAACTCTCGTTTTTCTACTTATTATATTGCATTTATACGATTAAGTTATATTTACTTATATTTAACTTTATGGTGTTTTTTGCAGTATGAAAGCGCTTTTAAGTCGCAAAAGCTCCAGAACTGGACCATCCCAAAGCAATTCAAAGAGGTATTTAACGCAGCCAATCTCATTGTAACGTTAAAAGCATTTAATCTAGAATCAACGTTAAATTAACATTAACTGTTCATAAAAATGTCTACAAAATCTCGTTACTGTCTTAAATTATAAATGTAACGTTAACGTTACTGTTTTTTTATTTTATTTCATAACTAACGTTAAATATTTTACTATGTACAGTTGTTTGTGGTAAATGATGGATCAAGTCTCATTTCGGTATTAAAATCCAATTAAATTTACAATAATGATTTTACGTACAAAGCATATTAAAAGCAAGTAAAGTGTCTGCTACTAGACTACTAGTGTTTGTTACTACTAGACATACAAGTAAAATAAATATAATAGTGCCATACTATACCAGAGATATTTAGCCTAACGTTACATACTGCAGGGTTCATACAGTCATGGAAAACCTGGAAAAGTCATGGAATTTTGACATGCAATTTTCCAGGCCTAGATAAGTTTTGGAAATTCAGAAAAAAACAATTTTTTTTAAAAGTCATAGAAAACATATCTGTATACTTGCATATAGGTTAGTTGTTTCTACTTTTCTGTCCTTGGCCAATCACATACTCTCACATTATTGGTGCGGCGTTAGCATTATCTAAATCAGTTTTACATAGATTTAAATATAAGCTGAAACCAAATAGTGTTGCGTGTTTTATGACATGCTGTTGTAAATTTTAACATGTTTTTTTTTAACAACGCATATGTAGACATTGCATGAAACATTAGGTCATGAAAATTTACTTGAAAGTCTTGGAAAAAATCATGGAAAAGTCGTGGAATTTTAGTAGTAAAAATGTATATGAACCCTGATACTGAAGATTTGTTCTGACCAGTATATAAACGAATAAGTGATTACATTAAATGTTAAACAGTTTTAATCTGATGGATGGTGGGTATGTATTACACTTATATTGTCAAGATGCTTGAAAATTACTTGTCTTTGACCCTCATGCTACTGTTAACAAACTTAAAATAAACATTAAAAATATTCATATTACAAGTACTTGTGCTTGGTCTATTTACTTTCTTTTCATTTTAAAGAGACCATCAGCAGCAGAAGGCTACACTACATTTATAGCCACAGACCGTGGTCACCTTCTACCTGGTGTAAGAACAAAGGTTTGTTTTAAACATTTGCTTAAGCTGAATGAAATTTAAACAATTACCATGCTTAAAACTTTTACATTGCTATTTTTTCATTAGCATCGAAGTGCGTGGCCAGCATTCCAAGGCACATGGGATTTACCACGTCGTATTCCTCCTGTTTCCATGAACCCCACTGCTCGCTCACAAGTGGGCCAGGACCGTCTCATGACCTGGGGACAGATGAAAATCACAACAAAGCAGGCTCACGAGGGCCCTGGTGACAGTCAGGCTATGAACAGAAACTCTCATGATGTGGTGGGTATTTAATATCTCCAGCTTTCACTCACCGGCCACTTTTGTTAGGTACACATAATGTGAAACTCCTTAACCACATGTCAAAAATGCTCTATAGGATCGAGATGTGCAGGCTATTTGAATGTAACAAGCGTATGGTCTTGTTTATACCAGTTTGAGACGGTTTGACTTTTGTGATATGTCATATTATCCCACTGGAAGGTAAGCTGTGGCATTTAGACAATACTTAGTTGGTAAAGAAAATTGTCAACACCATTATACCAATAGAAACCAAACCGATCATCTATGCTGTAGCAGAAATCAAGACCGATCAGACCAGGCTTCTAATCTTCTCTTGAGCAGTATTGGTGAGACTAAGAGTTGTAGCCTCGGTTTGCTGTTTTTAGCTGACAGGAGCATCACATCACACATCACTGCTCTTCTGTTGTTCATCTGGTTCAAGGTTTGACGTGTTGTGAATTCAGATAAGCTCCTTTACCAACCTTGGTTGTAACAAGCGGCCACTTCAGGTTCTGTTGTCTTTCTATTAACTGAACCAGTCTGGTCACTCTTCTCTGACCTCTGGCATCAACAAGGCATATTCACCTACTTAACTTCTGATCACTCAATATTTTCTCCTTTTCAGACCATTCTGTCAATTTTAGAGATGTTTGTGCATGAATATGACAGTTGATCAGAACTTTAAGAAATACTCAGACCGGCTTGTGGGACACCTATACGTTAAAAAGTCACTTAAAAGTGTTAGTTCACCCAAAATATAAAATTCGGTTATTGATTACTAACCCTTATGTCCTTCTTATCCCGACACCTTCTCTTCATTTTCAGAACACAAATTGAATCTGAGAGCTTCCTCATCCTCCAGACAGCAACAGACCAGAAACATTCAAAGTCCAGAAAAAAAAAAAACAATCAAAACATGCAACTTCAATGGCTCAACTGTAGTATACGAAACTCCATGAACACTTTTGTGAGCCAAAAACCCCTATAAAATTACATTACGTTTGCCTGACTTATCTTCCTTATCGAGTCATCAGGTTGTGACATTTGCATGTACTTCTTCTGACTCTAATGGCAATATGTTGTACTACACATAGTAAGCTCATTCTGAGGTAGCGGAGGAGTGTACATTGGTAAACAAAGTAGTTTTTAAAATTTTTTTGCCGCACAAAAGTGTTCTTGGAGCTTATATGATTACAATTGAACCACTGAATTGAGAAGTGGCCGACAACGTTTATGATTCTTTTTCTGAACTTTGAATGTTTTGTGTTTATAGCTGTCTATGGAGGATAATGCTCTTATTGTAAAATATCCTATCCTGTGTTCTGAAAAATAAACTTGGGGATTGGAACAATAGTTTAGAAAAAAAAGATCTTTTTGGCCTTTATTTATCTTTCCCAACCATCAATACATATTTTGGTTGTCCCCCTTATCTAACCCCTTGCTTTTCTTCCCCATACTGATGCTCAGTTTGAAGCAGATCATCCTGAGTTGCTGCTAAGTAATTGGCTGAATAGGCATTGCATCTAACCAAGCAGTTCAACAGTTCAGGGCTCGAAAAATCTGGTAGCCCGAAGTCCCGGGGCTACTGCTTTTCGCTGGGCATGGTGTAGATAGACATTGGTAGCCCAATTGAAAAAAACAATAGCCCCGGGACTTCATGGTACCAGATTTTGCGAACCCTGCAATTGTACCTACTAAAGTGGCCAGTGAGTGTATAACATAGTGTTGCAAAAAAAAAAAAAAAAGTGTAAAAAAATTTTTAATGATACTAACCAATCAATATTCTCACAGGAAAACATAAATGTGGATCAGCCTGCTGAACAGTCAAAAATATACATTGACCCAGATGAAAATCAACCAGAGAAGCCTAAATCACAGCATATCCAGGACCAGTCAAGACCAGCAAGCCAGCAGGCCCAGCCTATCCCAGAAAACCTTAATATAAACCAGTCTAGACCAGCAAGTCAACGCAGCCAACAGGCTCCATCCAGACCAGCCACTCAGCAAAACCAAGCTGAATTCAGACCACCAACCCACAACAGCAGACCAGCATCTCAAGAAAAATAACACCAATTATAATCAGATCCCCTGCATGGGCAGTTATAAAAGTTCTTCCATGAAATGGCATTACGCAAGTGCAACACTTCTTTGAAAAACACTTTTGCTTCCCCAGATATTATTCTCGCATTTCCGTTGATTTAGAACTGTGCTCCCAGATTGTGCATAACGTGTGTCAGAACACATTAACTGAATTGTTTCATTGAAGCTAAAGCTGATTAGTTTTAACTAAATGGCTTTTGTATTGGGATCAGCTTGAATTAAATGCTGTCAATGAATGAAATGCAGGGTCAAGTATTACTAGAAAAATCACACATAAAATCTGAATTGAATCATATTCTTTTTTTTAAATGATAAAAACGGCATAGATTTGAAATAATTTTCTTTATTTGCTCAGTAATGAACAGACACACCTGTAAGCCCCTATAACACAACATCAGCTTGATTCACTAGTCGTCGGTTTATGCTTTTGGTGCTTGGAAGCAAATGATTGATTTTGGGAGCAGACACTGAAAGATTGTGGATGTGATGGTCCACATAAAAATGAAAACTCTGTCACCATTTACTTACAATCATGTCATTGCAAACCTCTTCCATTTTCTCTGGAACATACAGTAAAATATTATGAGGATTGTGTCCATTTAATTAATTAAATCAAATGCTCAGATTGTTTCAGATATCAACATTTTGGTTCAGCTAAAGGATATTAGTCACACAGATTCAGAATGACATGAAGTAATCGATGACAGAGTTTACGTTTTTTTTCCCTCTGAACAAAAGTCAAAAATAGCAACGCATTTTTCTCTCTCTTGTGATAAATGCACAATAAACAGCTGTATGGTCATGCCACAATGTTGTCAACAGCTTTAATTAAAAGATCAATTTTAATATCTGTGGCAAACGCTAGTTTAACTCAGAAATGCAGAGTTTCTGAAGCTCTGTTGTAAACACAGAACAAACAGTCATCATAGCCAAATTAATACACATTCAAATCAACAAACTGTTTTACCAAAATGACATGACAAAAAAAAAAATTTCAAACAATCCTCAAAATCTTAAAGGTTGG